TTATCTGGGCCAATTGTAGGGTCTTAAACACCCAAAAGGAAAGTATAACGAAGATTAAAGGGGTCAGTATAATTTTTTAAGAGTCTATATGTATAGCTAAAGGCTACATAACAAGAAACAATGCCAGATAGGAGATACCTTCCTTTGAGTTATTGGCCAATGTGGCCCAAAAGGCTCCCAGACAGTAACCCAAAATAGAACTGAGAAAATGAACAGCAGAGCCCAATCTTATCTAAAGGAATATTGACAACTGACTGCTGCTAGATGAGGAAGAGCTAATCTTCCTAAAACAAGGAACTCTAGATAGACTGACTAGATTCACCGGATGGACAAGCACTGGGGAATGGCTGGGAGCACCCACAACACAGTGGATAGTAGCAGGGATGACAGATTATATGGGCTCCATTGGGGGGGGCTGTGGGAGGGTGCCATTTGGAAACTGGTATATAGATGAATAGGATTGTTTGGGATGTTCTGTATGATATACACACAAAAAAATCAAATTAAAAATGACATATTTTAGGAGGAAGCATAAAAATTTACTTCATGTTAATTAGTAGAGGTGAAAAACATTACCATTGAAATCTACCGGATGACTTTATATCCATACTCAGGTGCCAAGGAGCCGAGTGTAACTGACTGTAACTAGTAATAGTCAGATACATAAAGATTAGAGACACATGTGCAAACATCTAAGCATGTAGCATTAAAAATGAGTCTTTCTGTAGGAAACAGCATATTTTAAAATGAAATGGAGATCTTTTTCAAAGGTTAAAAATTCATTAAATTTTATGTCTTACAGGGTCTGTACTGAGTTCAGTATTATATAACTGTATTAATTCAACTGTGAGCCTAAAAATTTATAGCCAATTTTGAAAGAGATGCATCCTTGCTCTGGATATTGTTATTGAATATGTTAAAGCTGTAGTGAAATGCTTCTTCTAATCATGTGGTTATTAAGTAAAAAAAAAAAAGCAAGTTAGATTCACAGAAAAACTGAGCAGAAAATAAAGAATTTCCCAGATCGCTGTTTCTACAGCCTCACTCACAGTAGCCTCTCCCACTACCAACATTCCTGGGGGGCAGAACACTTGTTCCCACAGAGGAACCTAGGGAATCAGAGCATTGTTATCACCCACAGTCTACAGTGTCTTTAGGGTCCTGTCAACAGAGTATCCTTATCACCCACAGTCCACAGTATCCTTTAGGGTCTCCTCTTGCTGTTGTGCATTCTATGGGTTGTGACAGGTGTGAATGGCAGACATGTCATTTTACAACCAGAGTGATCAGACTTCCCCATCCTCACCCCCACTGGCTTTGCCTATTCATCCCTCAAACATTTTTTTCCCCTGATAATCTCCACATCAAGCTGACCTCCAACTCTCAAGTTTGAAACAGAACTTGTGATCCTCCTGCCTCTACCTTCTGAGTGCTGAGATCTGGGATTACAGGGCATGCACCCACCACATTTAGTTTATGAAGTACTAGGGGGATTGAACCCAGGGCCTTGTGCACACTATGCAAGCACTTTACCAACTGAGCTACATCCCAGGTGGGCTTATTTTTAAAATTATTTTTATTTTATGTGTATGAGTGTTTTACCTACATGTATGTAAGTGTACTACATGTGTGCCTGGTACCCTTAGAGGCCAGAACAAGGTGTCACATCCCCTGGAACTGGAGTTAAGGACAGTTGTTAGACATCATGTGGGTGTTGGGAACTGAACCCAGGTCCTCTGGAAGAGCAGCGAGTGCTCTTACCGGCTAAGCCATCTCTCCAGCCCTGGGCTTACATTTTTAAACCCAGTTCCAGGTCATTGATGGATTCAGAGTTGTTGCTGATGGTATTGGGATGTTGAGCTGCAAGCAGAGAGATGTCTCAGCCAAGCCAGTTAGGAAGATCATATGAGGGTTCAGGAAAGAGCTGTGGCTGGAAAAATCAGAGGGAGCTATGGAGCAGCTGACAGGAAGGAATGACTTCCCTCAGAGGAGTGAGGAGTGGTGGGCACAGAAGCCACTGGGACCTCAGGGTTCTGGGAGCTTAATATAAATTAATGGTGCTGGCCTGCTGGGAACTAGGCTATGCAGGCCTTCAAGGCAGAATAGAATCTGCTAAACTGCAGGGACCAGTCAGCCCAGACAGCAGGAAAGCCTTGCGTTAAGGGGAAAGTTCCTTCTGTCCTAGAGGAGGCTGGGACTAGATGTTCATGTTACAATGTTAAGGGACATACCATCAGCAGGACTGCCAGTCAGGGAGTGTCAGAAACCCTTCCAGGGGCTGACTGGAGTCTAGAACAGAAGAGGACCAGGCCTGCGGACTGCTTAGTAGTAGCCTGAGCAACAGGCGGCTTCGCTCTTTTCTCCTCTGGATCAGCAGCGCCGGAGGGACTCTGAGCTCTGGCCGCCTTAAGGTCGGGGTCCTGACTCCCCTGGCTATTCGCCGCGCCCGTAGTGTCAGGCAGTGGCGCGGTGGCAGCGACCGTGCAGGTCTGCCCAAGGGTTAACCCGTTCCGGGCAGCTGCGGCGCGTGCGGTGCGGAATTTCACCAGAAGAGGGTACAGTAGGAAAGCGTTTGACGTCAGGCTGGAATTCCTATTGTGTTTAGGAACGGCTCTGGAAAAGCCAGCCCAAGTTCGCTCTCCGCACACCTCGGCTGACGGCGTGGGTCGCGCAGCTCAGGGACCCGCCAGTCGCCACCCGCACGCGGGGGAAGGAGGACGCTGCCCGCCTCCGGCGTTCGGAACTGTCTGCCGGAGGCCAAACCGAAGCGCCAGATCGGGAGCTGGAGGGTGAGTGTCCCGGACGCCGGAGGCCACCGGCTGCCAGTCCCCGCGCGCCTGAATGCCGGCGCGCAGCCCCGCCGCCTGGTGCATGGCTCCCCCGCGGCGCGCCCCAGCCAGTCGCCGCCAGCAGTGAGCACCCTTCTGGGCAGGTGGCTGTTGTCCCCCAGGGCCGCGCATCGCTGGCGGCGGCAGGGCGCGCGGAGCCCGGGCTTGAGAGTGCACCCTCCGGGAGCATGGACGCGTCCGAGGACCACAGCCTCCCGGAGCCTGGCAGCCAGGGCTCCGCGGCAGCCGACGACATCGAGATCGTGGTGAACGTGGGGGGCGTGCGGCAAGTGCTGTACGGAGACCTGCTCAGCCAGTACCCCGAGACCCGGCTCGCGGAGCTCATCAACTGCTTGGCCGGGGGTTACGACACCATCTTCTCCTTATGCGACGATTACGACCCCGGCAAGCGCGAATTCTACTTTGACCGGGACCCAGACGCGTTCAAGTGTGTCATTGAGGTCTACTATTTCGGGGAGGTCCACATGAAGAAAGGCATCTGCCCCATCTGCTTCAAAAACGAGATGGACTTCTGGAAGGTGGACCTCAAATTCCTGGATGACTGTTGCAAGAGCCATTTGAGCGAGAAGCGCGAGGAGCTGGAGGAGATCGCGCGCCGGGTGCAGCTCATCTTGGACGACCTAGGTGTGGACGCGGCAGAGGGCCGCTGGCGCCGCTGCCAGAAGTGCGTCTGGAAGTTCCTGGAGAAGCCGGAGTCGTCGTGCCCCGCGCGGGTAGTGGCCGTCCTGTCCTTCTTGCTCATCCTCGTCTCGTCCGTGGTCATGTGCATGGGCACCATCCCCGAGCTGCAGGTGACGGACGCTGAGGGCAACCGCGTGGAGCACCCAACGCTAGAGAACGTGGAGACTGCGTGCATCGGCTGGTTCACGCTGGAGTACCTGCTGCGCCTCTTCTCGTCGCCCAACAAGCTGCACTTCGCCCTGTCCTTCATGAACATCGTGGACGTGCTGGCCATCCTCCCCTTCTATGTGAGTCTCACGCTCACGCACCTGGGCGCCCGGATGATGGAGCTGACCAACGTGCAACAGGCAGTGCAAGCCCTGCGGATCATGCGCATCGCCCGCATCTTCAAGCTGGCCAGACACTCCTCCGGCCTGCAGACCCTCACCTACGCCCTCAAGCGTAGCTTCAAGGAACTGGGGCTATTGCTCATGTACCTGGCCGTGGGCATCTTTGTCTTCTCTGCACTGGGTTACACCATGGAGCAGAGCCACCCTGAGACACTGTTTAAGAGTATTCCCCAGTCCTTCTGGTGGGCCATTATCACCATGACCACAGTGGGCTATGGTGACATCTACCCCAAGACCACACTGGGCAAACTCAACGCGGCCATCAGCTTCTTGTGTGGGGTGATTGCCATCGCCCTGCCCATCCACCCCATCATCAACAACTTTGTCAGGTACTACAACAAGCAGCGTGTCCTGGAGACGGCAGCCAAGCACGAGCTGGAGCTGATGGAGCTCAATTCCAGCAGCACAGAGGGCAAGCCCGGGGGTTCCCGCAGCGATCTGGATACTCTGCCCCCAGAGCCTACTGCCAAGGAGGGGCCGAGCTGGGGCAGCCGCCTGAAGCTCTCCCACAGCGACACCTTCATCCCCCTGCTGACCGAGGAAAAGCACCATAGAACCCGACTCCAGAGCTGCAAGTGATGGGCAGGCTCCTGGGACAGAGACAGACCAGCTGTGGATGGACAAAACGTTGGGTAGGCATGTCAGCTGGCATGCAGTGGTTTCAGAGGGGCTGCCTGTGTCTCCCAGTCCTCCCCACTCCCCAGCAGACTGCCAAGGCTGGGTAAGACTCCTTGAGTGTCAACTGTCCAGATACAGGAGCAGGGAGTGCAGGAGCCACAGGGCCACTTGGGGCTACTGGAACAGCCTGACAGGAGCCCACATCTGCTTCTGTCTCCCTTTCAATAAAACCTCCGGCTCTGCACACCCTCCATATTGTGGGTTCTCTCAGGCTGGTTGTCACCCCAAGAGTGACTCCCATATACCCTAGTGCCAGGCCAGGAAGGAGGTGTGCAGCCCAGGGTGGGGGTGGGGAAGAGCTATTTTTAGTTGAGAGCTAATTACAGAAGGACTGCAAGGCAGGGTTCAGCGCCAAGGCACCTTGCCACATTCCAGGAGGCTCTGAGCAGGCAGCTTTTCTTCTGCTTCCTTCTGTGGAAAAGCTGAGGCTTAGGAAAGGAGAGGTGGCAGAGTCTGTTCTTGAGCAGCTAGCTCATAGTTGTCACCTGTGGAGCAGTTCTTTCCACACCTTTCTTTCCTTTCCAGTCATTCTGCAAGATAGATATCCTCATTTTACAGGTGAAGAAACTGAGGCCCAGAGCCACCCAGAGGAGGAATTCAGCCCTGGTTCTGGTGGTCCCCAAGCCCATTGTGTTTTCTCTGACACAGGGCAGTCTTGGGTCAGAGGCTTCTGCTGGGGCTTCTGAGGAAGGGTCTGAGTTCCTCAATGGGGTGTCAGGGGGACCCTTAGAGATATAGTTTTTAGCTCAACACCTGGCACTAGTATGTGTTTAGTCAATGCTGTTTCTGTGCTGGGAAGGGAGTGAGTTGCACAATTGACCACTGTGGCTCCCATAGGTCTGGGCTGGGCATGTAGGCAGGAGAGGGAAGGAAAGAGAACTGTCACACTGTTTTTGGTCAAAGGCTAAGAGCTGGTCCTGTCAGTCTAACCCTTTTTTATTTATTTTTATTTTTATTTATTTATTTATTTTAGTTTTCTACCTTCTAAGAGCCCTAGAGCCCTGACCTTTCCCCTAGCCCCTGAGGGAGGGGGAGGAAGCTCAGAGGGACATTGTTATGAGGTAGGGGGTAGAAGGTGTAGGCAGAGGGGGATGGGGGTTGTCATCTATCTGCCTCTACCCTGGACGGCTCTTTTCCTTTCCCCAGCCTTAGATTTTTTCTGTGAAAAGGAATGATTTCCAGAGCTCCTTCTAGGTCTTCCTTTCCAGAATTTCTAAGGCTTTGGTTGTGGATGCTTGTGATGGGGACTCCAGGATGTGGGAGGCTGTCACTTGGAAGGGTCTTGGGAAGAGAAAGTCTTGGGAGAGAGTCAAGGTCCTTCCTGTGGAGTGCATGCTGGCTCCAGGCCTGCAGAGATAGGACATCTAGGCAGAGACCGATTGGGCTGTGGGGGAAGGGTGTGTGTGGGTGGATCATGTGGCAGGTATGTTGGTGGCTGTTCAGGAAGGACACAGGGACTGCTTTGTGTCCCCCAGACCCCCTCCTATAGGATTCTGAAGGTCCCTAGCATCTCTGATTCGGTAGGCTAAGACCCCGGTTGTCTCAATCTGTGTTGTATACCTCCCCTTCTATTTCTCTAGGTACACCAGGTTCTGTGGCCATCCAAGGCAGAGAAAAAAGGTAGGGGACTGGGGTAGTAGGGACTCTGGCTGGTGAAGGACAGCCTCTGCTCGAGTATTTGAATTCTTGGGGCTTAGTATGTTTGCTAAAATTGTAGCTTGTCTTTCTTTGGTCTCTTTACCCCCAGAGTCCTTGGGAAGCTAGGGAGTGGGTACAAGTCTCAGTACTCAGAGCCTGGGGAAGGGGGAAAAACTCAGGGTTTAAAGAGAGATCTGGGTGACTTGGGGCAGAAAACTACCTTCCTGTCTTTCCTGCCTTCCTCTGGTGCAGTGGGGCAGGAGATAGGTGTGTGGGCTGTGAGTAGGAGGGGAGAGTGTGCTCAGCTCCAAAGAGCCTTGCAGCTCATTCAGGAGCAGAAGACCAAGTTCCTGGAGGGATGAACCATCCCATGTCTGAGATCTCCATGGCTTAGGATCCCAGAGGAGTTCAGAGAAATGATCCTTACATAGTGGCATGCTTTGTCCTGGAGGAGTGCCCTGGGAACTTTGGGAGCCAGAAGTCCTTAGTCCCTGGGAGAGCTTTCACAGTTTCAAGTACTTGAACTTGGCTGTATCTTAGAACCACAGGGTAGCTTTAAAAGCTCAGTGTCCACACTCTACTCCTTCTTATGAAATTAAAATCTCTAAGGGTGACCCTCCAGTGTCAGAATTTTTAAAACTTAAAGTGCACATGAGTCATGGCGATCTTGTTAAATCTAAGGTTTGAAGTTATAGAGCTGATGACCCCTGTCTTTCTGCTTTTCCAACAAGTTCCTAGGTACAATTGGTGGCTGGGACTTGCTGGTCCACAAACTGGCTTTGAACAACCAGAACAGGAGTTCTGGTAAACTGTGGCCTGGGAATCAGATCTGGCACACCACCTGTTTTACACAGCCCATGACTTTAGAATAGTTTTTATATTTTTAAATGGTTGAAAAAAAAAGGAAAAATAACATTTTGTGACCCGTGAATAGTACATAAAATTCAAATTTTGTTGTCCACAAATAAAGTGTTATTGGAACTAAGCCATGCCTATGTGTGTGTTCTGGGACTGGTGATGGTAGCTAAGGAGCTGTAAGACAGAGCTGAGATCTGAGGCAGGTCAGATACCCCAGAGAACCCAACTTCATCTCTGTGCCCTTACAGAGGACATTTGCCCACCCTGGGCTGGAAAAGATATTAAAGAGAAGCCTCCAGGGGTGACTAAGAATCATTCCAGATCAGCAAGCGAGAACTTCCCAGCAGCCAGGAGCAGTGTGAGGGACACCCAAGTGCTGATAGCTTCAGAGATGAAAGGGACCACTCTCACACCCCAGAGGGGAGCAGGAACCACAGGAAGAGGCTGCCCTCTTCCTCCTCCTCACTGTTCTCAGGCCCTCCTTCTTTTCCTCCTGAAAACTCCCATCTTGCCTTCCTTTTCAGCCTCTTCCCCGCAGTCCTGGTTCCAGCACTCCCAGGTATAAGCTGGTACCAGTGGCAGTGGTGGGAATCAGGCTGAACCTCCAACTGACCTGAATCGGGTAGGCCCCTCCAATGGCTGTGACCAGAGCCCTGGGCCCCAGCGTCCCACCTCAGGGCTGTCAGCTTCCTAATAAGGTGAAGGATGATGTCATCAGGTCTTTCTGGAAGGCATCACTCTGTAAGCAATGGGCTGGCTTTAGTGTTGATGGTTTGTAAGGCAGGAAAAGAGAATGTGGACACATTTCCGTGGGTGAGCTGCTCTGGGCAGATACTTGGTGTTGTGGATTTCAGGTTCCATTCTGGCCCTCATATGAGGGGTCTGGAGCTGGAGCCTCAGTTTGGAGGTATCTCATAAAACAAAATAGGGGGATCTGTGACAACCCAAGACTGGGGAGAACTGGTGAGTCAGTAAAACACTAGCAATGGTTGGGGTGATAGCCATGGGTTCAACTGCCCTCTTGACACTGGGCACAGTGCTACTGGACCCAGCTTTTGCTTCCTCTCACCCTGAAGGAAGGGCTGTCTCTTCCTCCTGGGCCCCCCAGAGAATAATTAAATGTCTCCTGGGGAAATGAGAGACGCTGCTTCCAAGGCCTCCCACCTGTCGCCTGTGGGAAGACAGCTCTGTTCATGGTGTGCTTGACAACGCATTTTACCAACAGACTCGAATGAGGGTTTCATAGACACCCATAATCCAAGGCAGAATCTCCCCTGAGATTCTTTCCTGTACCTGTAGCAGGGATGATGTGGGTTTCCAAAAGGAAACACCAAGCAAGAACTGGGACTCTGCACTTAGCCTTTTTTTTTTTTCTTTGTGAGGCTTTCAGCCAGGCAGACTCAGGGGCTGTCTGCAGTTCCCCCAAGTTATGGGTTAGCCTCAGTTTTACAGATGGAGAAATTGAGATCCAAAGTGCTGAAGCCATAAATTGGTCTTAGTAGCAGAGGTAGGCATTGTGCCTAGAACCTCGAGCCATGACCAGGGAGGTGTGGTCCTCCCACACCCAACCGCCTACCCTCTCTCTCTATCCCTTCACCATCACCTCCTCCCGACTCTGGCAGAAGCGATAGGAAATTGCCAGTGGTCACACAGCTACAGGGAAGTTGGTGTGACACAAACAACTGCACAGCCTGGGAAGCATCCCTCCCGAAGGAGTGAGGCCCATAGTCACCATCATTTGACCTCTCACTCAGGCATAGTCTCTGGTTCCCTTCCCCATCTAGACTTGACTGCAGTGGATGACAGGCCCTGGCAGTGCTCTTCTCCAGACACACATTACCATGGCATGATCACTGCCATTGTTAAAAGCATGCCTGGGCAGATAGGCTAAGATTACCACAGTGTCAGCAGAGACCCAGGGAGGCAAAACTATTAGAACACGGCTTCTGCTGGCATATACATTGCTCAGATGTCAGGAGTACTGTTCTGTGTGCCCCATGCCCTAGTTGTCTTGTTCCTCGTTGGATTTAGCTGAGTAGGTCTGCCCTGGCCTTGAATCACAGACCCCAGAGGAAGCCCAGATGGAGACCTGGCAGTCAGGCTACAGATAAACTGAACCCTTGAGAGCGCCCCCTGCTGCCTACCCTGCTCTTGTGTGAGCATGGGGATGCCCCCCCAGACCCATTCACTGCTCTTTCCTGTTTCCCCAGTTGTTAAGCCTGGCACTATGATCTCCGGGGCATGACTCCAAAGTGTCTCTGGACCTCATCTCCCACTCCCCCATCTTCCACTGCGGTAGGTTCGTGGTGTCACACACCCACTTTGCACTGGAGCAACCGTCTGCCCATTATCCACCAATCACAATCCCTTCCCTGTTTCTAGACTCCCCTGCCAGCCACCTTCCCTTCTCAGAGGTCATAGTGTCCCGTGGGTCCTCCTGGGATGGGGGCAGAATCCATGTTATGGAGATGGGAGGATCCACCCACCTCATTCCACATGGAGGAAATTGTGGGGAGGCTGCTTGACTTCCTGGCTATGAGATCTAACTCCCCCTTGATCCTATCTCTGCCTTCACTTCCCACTCAGTCCATCCCCACCCCGCACACTGATGGCCACAGGTGGGGGCCTCATCAAGTCAAGCAGAGGCTTTGGACATTGACCTGAAAAGGCAGTCAGTTCCTGGAACAGCTTCCCA